TCTGCACCCCGTCTTCTGAGCCAGACTATAACCTCAATGAGATATATGTTTTTTAACCTTCCCTCAGGACCTGCTTGCAGATGCTTCATTTACTAGCTTTCTATTGATTGGCTAACAATAAAAGACTTTGAGTTGCAAAGAACATGTTCCAGTTTTTCAGCAAAGGAAAAAAAATTTATCAAATCTTTCTGACGAATAATTTTTCTCAGAAAGTTAAATTAAGCCACCATCTTTCTCAAAAATTTAAATTAGGCCTCCAAATCAGCTTGGGACAGAGAGTTAAACCACAGAAGCCAGACGGCTGCCTGCCCAACATCCATTCTCCTCCTTTTTCCTGATGACAGAACTCCGAAGTTTTGATCAGGTATCCATCCATTCCTCCCTTAACCAAAGAATGCAGGAAATAAGGACCCAGTCCCCAATTCCAGGGGTGATTCCTGACTGGTTCTAAGACAGTCATGATAGCTTCCTCCCCTTGCCAGCGACTGACTTAGACAAAATCAGATGGCCCGGTTCTAGTCAGACGTTCTCCTAGGAAAAGTTTCTCCCTCTAAAGACAAAGATTCCAAAAGAGGAAGAACCCTTGGATGGAAAACATGTGGCTGCTGTGGCCAATCTGATGGAAGCCTGAGGCCTCAGCAGCAGATGAGGAGAAAGCCAAGAGAGTCACGAGGAAGCCAGCCCTGGCCCCTGAGGGACCGCGCACAGACAGCCCTCCTACTAGACTTCATTAGATACTCCTCCTTAGCAGTTAAAGTCAATGTGAAGTGGCGTTTTTTGTCATTCACAGCCATTAGCACCCAAACCAATATCAGCATTAATTTCTAATTAAGACTCACAGGACGAATGAAAACATTAAAGTGTGATAATGAATCAAAAAAAAAAAAAAAAACAACTCTTGGTCTGGGTAGCATTTGCCACTGAAATTCAAACTATGAGCTGTCTTTCCCCATTTTCTTCACATCTTCCAGAACACCACTTTGCCTAAGACCCACATACATTTACTCAACCCTCAACACATACTAACCAAGACCCTATTATCTCCCAAGCACTGTAGCTGGCACTGGAAAACCAGCGTGAAGAGATCGATCAGACCTGACCTCATCAAACTTAGAAGTTTTTTTGTTTTTTTTTTTTTATTTTGAAGAAACAGATAATAAAATATATGAAGTTAAAAACTATAAACTGCAATAAATGCCTGAAGGGAAACAAAGTTCTCAGAGAAAGGACAAGGAGCACTTACTTTAGATAAGATGATCATGGATAATCTCCTGGACCTAAAGAAGATGAGAGCAGCCATGTGAAGAGCCAAAGGGCTAGACTGCCGGAAATAGAAGAGAAAGTGGTCCTGGCAGGGGCCAGATCTTGAACGATTTCATAGACCAAATTAATGAGGTTTAACTTTATGCTCACAGAGAGAACAATCTATTCACTCATTTAACAAATGTTTACCGAAGTACCTACTGTGTAGGAAAAAAAAAAGCAGCTAACACAATGTTTAACAGCAAGGACTGAAAGAGTGACTGATTTGCTATATGGGTTCTTCTGCTTAACCACCTGTGTGACACTGGGCAAGTTACTCAACTTCTCTGGGCCTCAGTTTCCTTATATGTAAAATGAGGAAGATTTCCTAAGACTTACTATGAATAGTAAGTGAGGTTAACCAATGAAAAGTTCTTAAAATAGTAGTCAATGTTGAGTAAAAAAGCATGTGCCTAGTAGAGAACATATTCCCAACTTCATGGAGGTTCCAATTGGGAAAGAATAGGTCGGGGGGGGGGGGCACTGCCAAAGATCAGGGTAATGGGATACCACTGAAGGGCTGTACTGGTGGGTCCATCAGGGAAAAATCCAACTTCCACTTAACACAATAAACCATCTGCCATATGGAAAACAGGGGCATTGAGCCGATGAAGAATAGAAGCTGGGAGACCTAACGTAGTAGTTGCAGTTAATTGTGGTTTGAATCAGGTACAAGAGGAAACAGTGCTGGAAAGAAATGGGTGGATTAAACTGAATTGGGATAATACAACCAGAAGGTTTACTGATGGTCTGGATATGGGAAGTGAGGTAAAGAAATCAAGTAACTCCCACATGTCTGGTTTGAGCAGGGAGGTCAAGGAAAGCATCCAGGTAGGAGTGAGGGTGGAGGATGGACAGGGAAATCTATTCAAGAGATACTACAGGGGCGGTGCCTGTGGCTCAAAAGGGTAGGGCACCAACCCTATATACCAGAGGTGGCAGGTTCAAACCCAGCCCCAGCCAAAATAAAAATAAATAAATTAAAAAAAAAAAAAACAAGAGATACTACAGATGTGCAGATTGGGCCTTTACATCTAGAAAAGATGGGAGTAGCATGGAACAAGCCAAAATTAATACATCTGCCTCAGGACAGATTTGGAAAGAGGTAGGGACAGGCGTTATTAACTCTGTACGTCTTTATCCTAGCTGCCTTTTTATAATGAACGTGTTTTGCTTTCCTTTTAGTTTTAAGAAAATTAGAAAATGCTCCAAATGTTTATACATGGTAATCTTATTCCTTTCCCTAATCAGTGCCAGAATGTTAAACTGTTTAAATTTAAAAGAACTTTTGAATGAATGGTGAATGCAAAATAGTCGCTCAAAAGCTAGCTGAAATAACATGGGAAATGAATGTCAGTTGAGAAAGATTATTTTGAATACTTCCGTTACTTATTTTAAGCATATGGAGAAGATGAAAACAAACGCCTGAATTTGAAAAAAATCAAATCTGAAATGTCTCAGCCAGAATCATTTTTTAAAACAAAGTGTCAGGTTTACAATGACCAGACTTTCCATCTAAGCACGCAAGAGTCACAACCTAACAAGCCCAAGTTCTTCTTCACTCACCAAAGCCTAAGACGTGAGGAGCAAAGTCTTCTTCAGAATAAATTACAAAGCCCCTAATTAAAAATATTGACTGGTTTGGAGGCAATCTCATTCTTTACAGAGGGTCCATCCTTCTTTCTTATAAGTTCCTCAATAAAGATATTGAGTGGGGGGAAAAAACCTGAATGATGACAAGAAAGAAAAAAAAATGACCACAGTCTTTTTTCCTTGCTTTGTCTACCTTAATTTGACTCCCCATTAAGTATCAACTAGAATAAACCAAAATGTCACCAAAACTTTCTGGAAACAACAGCTACCTTTTATTGAGCAGTTTATTTCACATTTGATATGTATTATGTGAATTATACTTCAAAAAATAGGAAATTAGGTATTATTTTCTTCATCCTTTAGATGAAGAAACTGAGGTTCAGAGAATCTCGGTAACATGCCATAGGTCATACAACTGAGTGGGAGAACTCAATGTGAGTAAGTCAGGTGTGGTGGTATGTGGCGATACTCCCAGCTACTCAAGAGGCTGAGGTGGGAGAATCTCTTAAGCTCAAGAGTTTAAGACCAGTCTGGCTAACAAAGCAGAAGAAAGAGAGAGAGGGACAGGAGAACAGAAGAGAGAGGGGAGAAGAGGGGAGGAGAGGGGAGGAGGAGAGGGGAGGAGGAGAGGGGAGAGAGGAGGGCTAGGGGACAGGAGGAGGAGAGGGGAGGAGAGGGGAGGAGAGGGGAGGGGGATAAGGGAGGGTTAGGGAAGAGGAGGAAGATAAAAGAGAGGGAGAAGGAGGGAAGGAGAGGAGGAGGAGAGGGAGAATGGGAAGGAAAGGGAGAGGGAAAGAGGGGAGAGAAAGGGGAGAGAGAAAGGGGAGAGAGAAAGGGAAGGGAGAAGGGGAGGGAGAAGGTAAGGGAGAAGGGGAGGGCAAAAAAGAGAAAGGGGAAGGGGGAAAAGGGAGGAAGGGAAGGGGGAAAAGAGGAAAGGAAAAGGGAAGAAAAGAAAGGAAAGGGGAAAAAAGAAAAGGAAAGGAAAAGGGGAAAGAAGGGGAGAGGGGAGGGAAAAAGTAATAAAAGCCCCAATTTTCCCAAATAATGATAAATTTACAGTTTCAAGAAGTTTCACAAACATGAAGCTGAATTAAAAAGCCACACTTAGGTATATCATAATGAAAATGCTAAAAAGTCAAGTATAAAAGAAAATAAGGTAGCTAGAAGAAAAAATACACAATACACTGTATACAAGAGAATAATGAACTGAAAGACAGTTGAATTCTCGTCAGAAGTAACAGACCAGAAAGACAAATAATAATAAAATGTGATCTCCAATCCTACTCGAGCAAAAATATCTTTAAAGAAGTAAAGACATTTTCAGAGAAAGCTATATAGAATTTGACTGTCTGACATTTATACTTTCAGAAATACTGAACACTAAAATTTGTGATTATATTAAGCCCTGATCATTTTATCTAAAAAAAGAAACATGCTCCCTTATAATTAGTTATCCCCACTTGGGTCACATAAATTTAAAAAAAAAAAAAAAAAGCATCTCAAACTTTTTGACTGTCTAACCGTCTTTTTTTTTTTTGCAGTTTTTGGCCAGGACCGGGTTTGAACCCGCCACCTCCCTTATAAGGGGCCAGCGCCCTACTCCTTTGAGCCACAGGTGCCACCCTAACCTTGATTTTTTTTTTTTCCCAGGGCTGGGTTTGAACCCGCCACCTCTGGCCTATGGGATCAGCACCCTACCCTTTTAAGCCACAGGCGCTGCCCCTAACCTTGATTTTTTAGTATTATCTAACCCAGAGGATCTCAACCTGTGGGTTGGGACCCGCAGGAACTGTATTAAAGGGCCATGGCATTAGGAAGGTTGAGAACCACTCTAACCAAAGCTAAATTCACTAACTGCCCTTATTTATCAACTGAAGACAAATATGTTAGGAAGATGGGTGAAATTCTTCTGCAAGTCAAAATCCAGCAACCCATTTCCCCTAAGGGTAACTTTAAAATATACATGCTGCAGAATAGACTAGATTCAGAAAGATTCCAGGAGTGTAAGAAAACAATGATGTGTTCAAGAAATATCTCTATTCCCCCAATCTATACTTTCAGCAGCTATCTAAATTAGGCAGTAAGAACTATTTCTTTTTACTAACAAGTTCTCAGACCAAGCAACTTTAACCAGACATTCCACCGGAGTTCAGCAGCAGGATCAAAACTCTGATTTCTGGCTGGGCATGGTGGCTCACACCTGTGATCCTAGCATCTTGGAAGGTCGAGGCAGGAGGATCAACTGAGGACAAGAGTTCAAGACTAGCCTCGGCAATCGAAGATCTCATCTCCACAAAAAAGAAACAAAAGGAAAATTGGCTCAGTGCCTGTAGCTCAGCAGGGAAGGTGCCAGTCACATACACCGGAGCTGGTGGGTTGGAACCTGGCCCAGGCCTAGTAAACAACGACAACAACAAAAAAATAGCTGGGCATTGTGGTGGGTGCTGTAGTCCCAGCTACTTGAGAGGCTGAAGCAAGAGAATCCCTTAAGCCCAAGAGTTGGAGGTTGCTGTGAGCTATGACACCACAGCGCTCTACCAAGGGCAACATAATGAGACTGTCTTGAAAAAAAAAAAAAAAGAAAGAAAGAAAGAAAGAAAGATTCTAACTTAGAACAGTTCTGTCTGCCTTTTTTTTTTTTTTTTTTAGAGACAACAGTCTCACTCTGCTGCCCTGGGTAGAGTACCATGGAATCATAGCTCACAACAAACTCAAAACTCTTGAGCAATCCTCTTGTCTCAGCCTCCCTAGTATCCAGGACTATAGAGATGCGCTACTATACCTGGCAGGTTTTGCTATTCATTTTAGTAGAGATGGGTTTCGCTCTTGCTTGGCTGGTCTCAAACTCAAGAACTCAAGCAATGCATCTGCCTCAGCCTCCCAGAGTGCTAAGATTACAGCCCCTATGCCCAGCCTGTCTGCTCCATTTTAGACACAAGAAACAAAATCTGTCTTTAAACTTTATCTTTCAGGAAATTAATTTGGAAAATACAGTATCTTCTAGTCAAAGAATTCACTCTTGAAATATTTTGCATTTCTCAGGCAAATTAGCTCCATTAGCACTAAGAACTTTTATTAGCTCTGTCTTTGTTTTCTAAGCGACTGCTTCTAATTAACTGGATCTGACTTTGGAATCTCAGGCCTCAACTCTTTGGCTGGGCCTAAACTTAACCCAAGTGTAAAGCTATCTTAGTATATAAAATAAATCCAGACTTGATTGGGTATCACTTCTAAGAAGCATGAGAATAATAGCAGATTAGTTATGATACTTAAAAGAGGTTGAACTGGGCAACCAGTTACATAATTTGAAGATTCTAAGTCCTCTAAACAAATGTGTTATTGAGACCAACGGCTATGAAGTGAGCAACCAATCATAAAACCCAAATTACGTGTCTCAAGTTCAATAACTGAATACTACCTTTATCTCTGGTCTTTTACTATGAAGTTATATAGAACATAGCACCACAACAATGTGCTCCTAAGCCCATACTACGCATACCAATTTGCAAACAGATGCTAAGAGATGCTTACAGAATTAACAGATTATCTCCTGTATATCAAGGTTTACGACAGATGAGAGATATAAAAGATGAGAAAAAAAATAAGAGCTTCCTGATCTCTTAGAATTCACATTTTAGCCTGGAAGATGTGACAAAAGATTCAGATGAGTGGCAGAATACAAAACTGTGTAATTGGTTCAAACAGAAGAAAAGATGAGTTCTGCTAAGGGAGCATATATAAGGTCCTTCCAGACAAAGATTCAGAAGATATCTGAACTGAGCCTTGCACAACATTTGGTTTCATGACTTCAACTATCATAAACTAAATGTTTTACAGTTAGTTGTATTCCAGTTTTATGCTATAAACACATATAATTCTTTTCTCCAGTAGTGTAGCACATTTACAAGTAAGTGTCTCAAATGACATCGTTGAAAAGGGCTCTCAGAAGAAGCACAAAAGCTAAAAACAGTTACTATAAGAATGCTTCTGGGGGCTTTTAAAAGTCCTTCTTTGAAAGCAACATGTGCTTTGGTCACAAACTGGAGATTGAGTCCATCATTTACAATCTGACAATGATTAAAAACTGAATAAACCAAGAAAATTCTAAGTAAAAGAGATGTTTCTTAACAATTTACATGAGATGAGCCTGGCCAACAGTAAAAAGTATGTGAGACAAGAGACTCAAGAATAAAAACCAACTTAAGGCTCGGCGCCTGTGGCTCAAGCAGCTAAGGCGCCAGCCACATACACCTAAGGTGGCGGGTTCGAA